CCGTATCATTAAAGAGAAAATGGGTTTTCAAATTCCTGAAACCTGTCTTTCTTCAAACAACATACAAAAACAAGAGGAATTTTTTTTCAGTTAGTCTGTAAGTAAAAATTATGTTATAAATACCTTTTGAAAACAAAAGTCAAGATAGAGTTAAACATTGAAAATTTTTCTGGTCTTAGGGGCGCTTGGCTGGCTAAGTGGGTTAAGACTGCCTTTGGCTCAGGTCATGTTCTCAGGGTCCTGGGATCCAGCCCTGCATGGGGCTCTCTGCTCAGCAGGGAGCCTGCTTCCCCCTCTCTCTCTCTGCTTGCTGCTCTACTTGTGATCTCTCTGTCAAATAAATAAAATTTAAAAAAAAAATTTCTGGTTGTAGATAAAATGTTAGCTAACCTAATTCTGTGAACTTGAAATTTAAGATTATTTTATGAATACCACAAACCAAAACTATCTCAATCCCACTGTTCCATTAGTTAACTTTATTGCCATAGGCTCAGACCTTATATGCTGTAACAAAGTTAGCTATAACACAGGTGTGATTACTCAATGTTCTCTCAATTATAAACTTCAGGACGAAGATGTTTATTCCTTCAGATTAACTCTAAGTTAAGCAAACATCTAAGAGTTGCTAGAAAATTATCTCTTCTCCAACTGTACAACTCAAATAAAGAAAGTTGCACAAATAATTTTCTCAGGTCCTGTCTTAATTAAACTCAGATTTCACACTTAGGACAACTTTAAAATGCAAAAATAAATATTTTAACTAGAAATAATGGACAAGTAATCGATTATTTACTCAATGAATTACTATATTATAGATTACTTATGTGTGGAAAGCCATAGTATCTTGTTTTGATGGCATCAAAACTCAACACAAAAAAATTGACTGAGCTGTTGCACTGAAAAGTCCAAGATCCCAAACAACTTAAATAATTCTTATAAATAATCAAATCAGATTTTCCAGTAAAGCTGGAAAATTCACCTAACAATACAAAAACAGCTTTTGTAAACTACCTAAAAATAGAATTTTATTTATGAGCTGTCTGTAGGGAAGAAAGAACTGATTTCATATTAAGGGAAAATATTTATCAAGTGAAATGTAAGGCCCAACTATTTTCTTGACTCTGACTTAAGTAAAAAAGCATCCTAGTAACTAATGGTTAATAAAAACTTCTTATATTCTTAAAGATACAAGTAACATCTAATTAAATTAGCGTTAGTCACCATCTGATTTTTAATGTAGCACTTAGCATGAGTGCTCACAATTAACAAAAAAAAATCTTTTGGTTAATTCCTACCTCAATTAATTTAATTGCAATAGCAAGATTTTTAGTTAAATACTGTTACTTCAAATTTGGTGTGCTAAAAAACTTCAAATTTGGTGTGCTAAAAAACTATTTTCAACCATAAATATTCCTCTTCCATATTAAATAAAATTTTAAGTAATACATATTATCCATTTAATATTTTAAAAAGGCTCTTCCCAACACTTGTACGTTACAAAAGACAGTCAAAAAGAGACAGTAAGCTACTCCAATTTTAAACTCAGCCTAAAAACTAACATTTATACAGGAACATCTAAAATAGTATCCTTGTTTTTTTGCCAGTCAACACAAAAGAAAAATTTTACCATAAAGTAAAAATAATTCTATAGCTAACATTAAAAATTCTCCCTGAATACAAGTATTAAACATTTATTCTAACATATCACAAGGAACAGTCCCTGATCACCCAGAATATTTGAGATGTGTCTGCTTAAATGAAAGCTTTAAATGCAACAAATAACTGAGCACCTACTCTCTACTGTGAATCAATCCTTTGGAAATGAAAGCTAATTATACATTATTAAAATATTTAAAAAAATAAACACAGCATCTTTTACAAAAATTCCACACTGATATTTCTTTAGCACCTTTTGACAGTTCTTCCAAGTCTTTTTCGTTTTCTCCATTTTAAACACTCAATGATAGCACACATTTAAGTCCCAGTACTAACTTCCAGAAAAGCGGATCTGTTAGGATTTATGTAACACACTTTAAAAAAAAAACCCTACAGGTGTAAGGCTTTGATGCGTGAAAATGGGTTCATTATTCTTAGAAATAAGAAACAAATTAAAGAAGTTAGACTTTCACTAACACCACTAAGGTGTGTGTTAAAAGGAAGACTTTCTCCTAAATTATTAAGTGGCTTTTATCCTCACTTCCTCATTTTAGATCCAAGAAGTCCTAGAGCTTACTGTGGTATACATGGTAAAAATTCTCTGGCTGGAAGCTGTAAGACAAGCCAAAATTGTGAGAGAGCTATCAGAGATCTAAAGAGTTGAAGGGAAATGGAGGAGCCCTGTAAAGGTTCTAAACTTAAATTGAGATCAAAGGGATCCTATAACGTACACTGACAACAAAAGGGAAGTACGATCAAAATATAGTCTCTAAAAATAAATTTGCTCTCCAATTACGTTATAATTTTCCACAAATCCACTTAAACAGATAAACACCTAATCCCTCAAAACTCAGCTACCCTAAGAACAAAAGACCATTCGACTAGTCTCCCCTCGAGCCTACCAGACCTACTGTATCAAAACTCACCGAGAAGAAAAAACCATGCCTAACCTTTTAATAAATTTGCCTCTACAATTCTAATTTAAAACAGTCAATGGGGTATACATTAACAAAAGCCAAACATTTATAACCATGTTATTTATAAATTAACCATTTAAAATGAAGTATAATATACTTCAAACATATATCAAAACAAGCAAAAAAAACCTAAGGCAATGGAGCAGCCCAGTATGAGGAAAGCTTAATAGCGTGAAGGCAGCTTTTCTCGTGATTTCTAACTTGGTTTTGTTTATCTGGCCAAGGAAGTCCAAATGCTCTGTGTCTAGACCTGATCAAGGTCACTATCAAGAAAAAACAATGGGTGTAGACAGTGTTCCCTCCCCTGGCTACATAAACCAAATTTCCCTAAGAGTATACTGATTTCCTACATTAAATAGTAAGTTAAAGTACCAACCTTCTGAACCACAGATCTTAACCAGTCTATAAAACAAACGCACAATCTTTATTTACACTGAAGTTACGACCTATACTTACATGATCACCCAGAGCATAATAAAACTGAGTATTGACCAGAAATCCCTACACAAACTCCTACTACCCACTAATATTTCATTTTACAATACATTTCAAAGATTCTAAGTAAGGTTATGAGCTCAGTCTTCCATGATGAAACTCTCTAAGCCAGTTATTTCTAAGATTATTTTGTAGAACAAAAAGTAAACTAGCTCATGTGTGAACTTCATGATTCTCTTGTTCCACTGTAAATATCAGAGCAGAATTTACAGTGGAATAAAAGAATCATTAAAGGGTGTATACTCCCCAACCTTTTTAAGAACTACTGGATTGAAAGGCACTCATCTTTCAGTTATTCCATATCAGACTGGTCATTAAACGCCATTAATGGCCCCAATGAAAACTCACTGCTAAGTTGAGGCCAAAAACATCAACCTCCCACTACAGAGGTGAATTTTAATCATTCCTACTTTTTCAAATACTGGTAAATGACACCATTTAATTTTCTGTCTCAATCTAGTAGATTCTGAAATTAGTTCTTGAAGCCACCCCCCCACCAATGCCCATTTACCAAAATAGGGATGTGGAACTTAGTCTGTTTTAATGACTTGAAGTAAAAGCCATACCATAATACAGGGTCTTGAATCCATTTTATTCTAAAGCCTTACTTTTCTACTTACATAATTACAATAGTATGCTCTAAAACAATTTTAAAAGGTAGCAAAGTGTGCAGCTGCACTTCGTGAAATATACAGATAACCTGGAAAATTCTTAAGGAATGCTAAAATACGTGAGAAAAATAGATGCAAAATAGAATAATGAGAAGAACAAGCATCTCCACACCCAGTGAAGTAACAGGTTTAGGCTTGTTTGTACAGCTCCCTAAAAATTAATCTGAAAGAGTACAAAAACCAAAATTCACAAAATTGGTCAAGAAGTGGATGGGAAACATTTCACTTTAAATTAAAACATGTAGTCCCACAAAATGTTACACTTACACACTTATTAAACATTTTAACTTACTTTAGCACAGAGAATAAAAAACACTTGCACTAAACCGAGCAAGAAACTATTCCTTGTCCCAAGTAATTTTTTTTTATGTTTAAGAGTACCTACCCTCACTACTTCAATTTCTAAGGCTACCTGAGTGTTTTAATTTTTTTTCGAAAGTGGTGTCATTTTATTTGCCTCTCAAGAAAAACCAATAAAATTAATCAACTAAAACACAGCACTGTAATTTGCAGTAAAATCAACACATTTTTGTAAACTATTTGGGGAAGAAAAGCAGCACAGTCTTTTCATGTAAACATAATAAGCCCGTAATATGCTGCAGACAAACGCACTGCATGGGGTGTGGAGGACCCGAGCTGATTAGATTACCACAACATCAGCCTGGGGCCGCCATTTTTAGAATCTGTAAAGGACAAAAGAGGGAAATTTCACTTTTTACTTCCCATCTCGGAAAATAAAGGGAAAAACGGGGCTATCTTCCAATTAGGTATTGATGTCTCCAGCCTAGAGTTGAATGCACCTCACTTAATTCTCTCCAAGGTCTCCAGAACTCCAACACCTTACGTTATTCACATCTCTAAAAGGAGGGGAAATAGGCACCAAAAAACCCAAACCAAACCAAAACAAAACCCGGGGTTTACTCCAAAGCGAACTCTAGCGATTTCTCTTTGACTTTAAATTGTATCATTCTTAAGAGTCTAGCAAGAACGGATCTATCTCTACGGAACCGGGGCCAATGGAAGAGAGCACTCCGGATTGTTTTTTCTCTCCCCCCTCCCCCGTTTAGCACAGTGAACCGTTTGTTTCTCTTCTCTATCTGCTGCCACAGTGTTTGTGCCAATCCCTTTGGTCAAAATAAGCTTTTCTGAAATGTGCCATATTGTGGATTCTAAGCCTGCGGTACAGTAAAGGACCGCGATAATGCAAGAGGAGTGGGGGAGGAGACTGAGAAGGCTGGGTACTGGGGTGACCACCTCAGGGGCGGGTTTACCCTCTCCGGGAGAGGATGAGGAGCTGTCTCGTTCCCCCACAAAAGGAGATAGAGACCCAGAATGTCCTCTTAACCCCCTTCGTATTTACCAGGTAATTGCACCAGAGAATACGAGGCAATTAATGGAAGAAGAAGAAAATGAGGCCTATACGGTTTTTCAGCACCTGAACAAGATGCGGTCGAGGAAAGGGAGACTGGCAGCTCCTGGGACCACTTCGACACAAACCCTACTAACAGTCACAAGCCTCCCTCCTCACCCAAGCGGCCTTAACCCGCTGCCAATGAGGAGTGCGCCCCCTCCCTAACTCCCACTCTCAAGGGGGTTTAACTGCCAGTTTCCCCTTTCCCCAACCCTAAAACCCGCCATAATGCTCCCTTTCTAGGGACAGGGAGGAGAAAGGATAAATTCTATTCAAACAAGCAGCGTCTTCCTCCAGCCCAGACACCTGAGAGTCAACGTCGACTCCCCTCACCCCCCTCCCAAAAGAATAAAAATGAGAAAGCCCCCTCCCCCTTGAAACACGCGTCCCTCCACCCCACAAACCCCAAGAACTCCCAAGGAGACGACAGGCACTGACCTGTGATGTTCACACACCAGACACCCGAACCCCGTTATCTGCTCGACCCCCAGGGAGTCTCTCCACACCTCCGCGAACAGACGACCCCCCGACAGCAGCCACTGCGGACACAGGACCCGGCTCCACACACCCCCTCCCCAAACAGCAGCGCGCAGCCTCTTCACCACCAATCAAAGAGTAGGGGAGGGGGCACCCAGACAGTCAACAGGAACGCAGAGGCGACGGCAAGGCTGCTCGGAGTGTCTATGCCCCCTCTGTTGCCGCTCCCGAACTCAGGCACGGTCTCCGACTCGGCCCCCTGCGCCCGCTCAGTGTCACTGCCTCTCGCTCTGGGAAAATGGCGGCGACGGCGGCGGCGGCCGCGGCGGCGGCGGCGGCGGCGGCCGCGGCGGCGGCGGCAAGTGCACGGGGCCCGCCCGCCCCGCTCCGCAGGGGCAGAGGGGGAGGGGACGAAGCTGCCCGCCGCCATTTTGCTTGTGGGCTGCCGCCCGCGGTTGCCTCTTCCAGAGAGGCTTGAAGATAGCCAACTGGAGGCAGAGATGTGGGCAGAACCTCCGTCTTTTTCACAACAGATGCATTCAACAATTCACAGAAGGTTTGGGAAGTTTCGGTATTTGGTGGGATTGGTTCTTTACCCCTTTTCCTTGAGCAGCCCTCAAGTCTGGATATCGGCGACGTTGGGCACGCCACTGCTGGGTGGAAGGATGAGGACTGTAGGCCCTGGGAACAACCCCCCCCTTCCTAAAGCGATGCACTTTCTCCCACTCCCCAAACCATCTCAGTCTCAGTCTTCCCCTCCCCCTCCCCAGTCTGGCCTCCAGCGCTGGGTGAACTCGGTTGGGGTGTCACTCGACGCCCACTAGGGGCTGTGGAGGCTCCAGTGCGCAGACTCCGGGCACCGGATAAAAGCGGAGCTGGGGCGTCCAGCGCCGTCTCGATGGAGGAGCGAGAAACGGAAGAGGTCGGGGGGAGAAGCAGCAGGAAAAGTACAGCCACCGTCAGCGCCGCTTTCCTGCCACCGTGTTTCGGGGTAAAAAGCTGCCGTTGCCGTCGGTGCAGTTGCCGTCGCTGCCTCCTACTTCTTTTGGCCCAGGGGAAGGATTGTCCCCGCCGGCGGGACAGTGTGCGGGGTGGGGAGCGGGAGTTCCTTTATGTGGTGGTGATTAAACGAGGGAGGGACAGAGAGACGGTTATCTCGAACAAAAAAAGGGGAAGCCAAAGAATAAAACAAGGGTTTCCCCACTAAAATAACACGTTGATTCTTGTTCTTGTTTTCGGGGTCTTTCCCCCGAAATGGCGGTTTCCGTCTTCTCGCTCCACAGACACCGGGAGCGCTTGGTAAGCGAAGTGGGGAGAGGCAGAGGCGGTCCGTGCAGCCAATCAGTGCCTGATGGGTTCTGTCGGGCGCGTCGTGATTGGCTAGCGATGACCTCATGCTGCAGCAGCGGGTGGGGCCAGAGCCGTCGGGGGAGGCTGTTGCAAAGGCAGAGAGGGAGAAGTGACGATGGTGATCGTTGCTGCCGCGGCTGATATGGAACCCAAGCAGTGGCGAAGAGAATCTCAAGGCTCTTCCCTGAGCATTTTCTCCTGTCCCTGCGCGAGGTGAGGGCCCCGGCTCGGCCTCTGCGAAACTTTGGGGCGCTGGCGCGGACGAGGAGACGAAATTCCTCCCATGACTTTTGTAACTGCGTCAGGGCAAGATGGCGCTGGGTCTCCTTGGGGCGCGGGGGGAGAGGCACGTCCACCGCCGCCGCAGCGCATGTGACCGGGCTGCATTCCTGTGGGGTTTGGCTCCGACCCAGGCTGGGGCGGGGGAGGGGAAAGGGCTTGGGCGGAGGAGACTGTGGTGCGGTCGGCGTTGGCGGCCTGAAGAGGAAGAGATGACTGTTTGAGAGCGATTCCCCTCCCCCATATAGCTTACAGTTGCGCCTGCGGGGGGAAAGCCTCTGGAGGGACACTCCTTACGGGGTGACGGCTGTTGGTGGTGGAGGTTTGGTGCCCTATTTTCTTACCTACCTTTCTCCTTGCAAAGTTCTTACGTAAGGTGACAGGTTTCTAGTGTTGGAGTCGCAGTCATCTGCGAGTCCCTGAGGGCCGCTGGAGTGAGTAAAAAAGAGAGACTAGCTGGGCCACAACGTCAAGAAGTTATCAGTAATTTTTTGAGAAAGCGTTAGGTTTCTCAGATCCCAGAGGAAAAATATTTCCTGTATTTGGAATCAAGTGTAAAAGGTGTAAGTAACACCCAGGAACACTTAAAATTTCCTAAAAGTTACCATTTGAATTTTGAGGATCATTTTCGGGCTTTCTGTTCCTTCCTGTGTACTTCTCATATCCTCCTTATCTGTATGTTCTAAAAGAATGTGTCATTTTAGTGGATACGCTTTTCGAATTTAGGAGTGATTAGTAACAACAGAATAAAAGCTGCTACTGTTATAATCTACATGAAATAAGGATGTTTTCAAACTTTTGTCTTTCTGCCCTCTTATGTATGGTTTTTAAAAATAAAAGATGAAATCACTTTTGGTAAATGTTACTCATTAAGATTCCTGCACCATTATGAAGCCTACCTCTTTAAACCACTTCTGTAGGAAGTGTGGAACTTTAGTTACAGTTTTTGAAACCTTGTTAGTTGAAGGTCTTTAGTTCAAAAGTTATTAAGTAGCCTATATTGGTAGGTTCAGTAAGAAATACTAGTTTTGTTTTTGGTTATTCCCAGTTGGACAGACAAGCATAGTAGCCATTTAACTAAACTGGTGAAAATTGAAAAAGCTTCTCCCCTCTGGTGGTGTTGAGAGTAGGGAGTTACATACAACAAAGATACTTGCACCGAATCCTGGCTTGCTTTTTGACAGGACACATCTTGTGCTAGGAGGAAATGTTCGCTAGACCTGAAAAGATGGGTTTAACTCAGGTCAAGGTTATGTTATTTCTCATAGTGTTAGTTGTAGACTTGGTAGTGTGAAAACAAGATTTTGTTTATACTTAAACCCTTGCTAGTTTTTGTGGCTTTTTCAGTGAAGTAACAGTATGAATAAACTGAAAAGCCTGTAATTAAAGTGTAAATATTAAGTAGTACGAAGATTTTAGAGTTCAGAGGTTTTTGTGTTCATCCTTTGTGAATAGAAAATGGGCACTGCATTTAAGAACTCTTGAATAACTTTGAGGATTTGTCATGTATAAATTGTGTCTCCCTAAACTGTCATAGCAGCTTTTATTTTGGCTCAGGAAAAAGGGAACAAATACGAAGTTGAGTTTTTGGTTCGTTTTGTTTTGTTTTTTAAAAGATTTTATTTATTTCACTGACAGATTACAAGTAGGCAGAGAGGCAGGCAGGGAGAGGAGGAAGTAGGCTCCCTGCTGAGCAGACAGCCCGATGCGGGGCTCCATCTATCCCAGGACCCTGGGATCATGACCTGAGCCGAAGGCAGAGACTTTAACCCACTGAGCCACACAGGTAGCCCTGAAGTCAGGTTTTTAAGGTAATTTTCAGTCCTCCTAGCTTCACTCTCCCTTAATAAGGAAGAGAGGCCATTTTTCAAGCGAATAGAAACATCCTTGTTTTTTTCTTTTTATAAGATTTTACCTTTTTTTTTTTGACAGAGGGAGATCACAAGTGGGGGGGGGGGGGGGGGGGAGCAGCCTCCCTGCTGAGCAGAGAGCCAGATGTGGGGCTGGATCCCAGGACCCTGAGATCATGACCCGAGCAAAAGGCAGAGGCTCAACCCTCTGAGCCACCCAGGCGCCCCATGTTTTTGTCTTTTTCATCAGTATGTCTACATTATTCCCAATTGCCACATCTTGAGCTCTAGATTTTCTTTTGCCACGTTCCTATGGTGTTTTAAATACTATTTGGAATTATTTCTTTGACTACCTCCTTGTGTTATATGTTCTCTCTGGGCAGTTTCATTTGTGTTTATGACTCCATAAAGCCTAAATTTTTATCTCAAGCTGTAAATGCAGTGTTAAGGTATACAAGGGGGGTGCCCACAGTCTTCCTAAACTACCGAAAAAACACTGAGCTTGGTACTAGATTCCAAATAACTTTGTTCACCCATTCCCTCAAAATATTTTTCCTTCCCATTCTCTTTAATTATTTGAGTAAACCATAGCCCAGCCTTCTTACATTTTGATTCAAATTATCATCTGTTATATAATTGGAAGTTTTGTAACTGGCATTAGGTGGCGGACATCCCCTAGTTGATAAAATACACCTGGAGTGCTGTTTCATACGTTTGTGTCTTTGTCTATTCCACCCAAAGTACTTCCCACTCCTGGGTAACTTGAGACTTTGCCTCCTGAAACTTCATATTTTAGCTCCCAAGTCATATGACCCGTTCTTTAAATAGTGATGCGGCCCAATGCTTGACACTTGTTTGGCTTTCAGGTATACCCGTGTGTGGGGGGGGGGTATTTTTTTTTTTAAGATAACACTCTACTAATAAACTGTAGTGCAAAATGTAAAACCTAGCTTTCGCACTTGACCAAAAGCACACTTGAGTACCAGGGTTTGATGAGGAAAGGAAGGATTAGGAGACTCATAGGCAAGGTTTCCTTACCTTTGACTTAGGTAAAAGGGGGACGGCGCTGCTGGTGGGATATTTCTGACTGCAGAAAGATGGGAAGAAAAAAACTGGCCGTATTTTTCAACATCGTCTTTCTCAAATCTAGAGGACATTTTAACTTCAGTATATAAACACCAGTTGTTATTTGGGTTTTTAATTCCTTGATGTGTTTGGGCCTTATTGAAGTATTTAGTACTGCTTGCTCTGATAGCAGAGGACCCCCTTGAGTTTAGTTTTTATCATTTTTCTTGCTGTCATTTATAAGTGTCCATGTGACAGCCTCTGGTACCTACATGGGTTTTATGTATCATGAGATTGGCATTCCAATAATAGGGCTTATTAAAATTGCATGTTAAATGAAGTTCCTCAGTAAGAATTCTAAGAGTCAGATTTGAGCTTTATAAACATTGGTGACCCTTTTGTCTGCTGTTAAAGCTTTTAGGGTATTTTTGAATAGTGATTGTCTATCTTTTGAAGCTCAAGTTCAAAATAAGAAAATATTCTGATTAAATGGGTCTTCACTGGATTTTTTTAAACAACTTTTTTTAAGGTTTTTATTTATTTATTTGACAGATAGCAAGTAGGCAGAGAGGAGGAAGCAGGTGGCCGCGCTGGCCACCCCCCCCCCCCCCAAGCAGAGAGCCCGATGCCATGCAGGGCTTGATCCCAGGACCCTGGGATCATGACCTGAGCAGAAGGCAGAGGATTTAACCCACTGAGCCACCCAGGCGCCCCCCTGGATTTTGTTTTTTTATATGGAATTTTCCTCTGCCCCACTCCAACCCCTGACTTTAGTGTTGTCTAAGTGTAGAACAAAAAGATTTATGTCTGAGGATTTAACTTAAGCCCTTAAATATACCTTAAAATGTTACGGTTGAACATGCCACCTGATTAACTTCCTGAAAAATGGATTTAATGCTACCTCTTTCTTTCTGGGCAAGATGTTATTTATCTTAACACTAAACCTGAAATTCATATTTGCAAATAGTCCTCAAAAAAACTTTTCAGAGTTGTGGATACCTTGAGTCAACTTGATTGGTTTTCTTAAGAAAAAGATAGGTTTATTCCAGAGTATTAAAAAAACATTTTGAAGTTAACTGCCTTCTGGTATTCAAAAAGATCAGGCTTAGGGGTCCCTGGGTGGCTTAGTCTGATGAGTGTCATTGAGCATGGATTCTTGGGTTCAGCTCAGGTCATGAGATGGAGCTGCCCTGCCACAAATAAATAAATCTTAAAAAAAAAAAAAAATTAGAGCGCCTGGGTGGCTCTGTCTGCCTTTGGCTGGGGCCTCTTCAAATCAATAAAATCTTAAAAATGATCAGGCCAGTAGTCTCCCTGCTAACTGTTCAAGTTTGGAACATATATATATATTTTTAAAGATTTTATTTATTTGACAGACAAAGATCACAAGTAGGCAGAGAGGCAGGCAGAGAGAGATGAGGAAGCAGGCTCCCTGCAGAGCAGAGAGCCCGATGTGGGGCTCGCTAGATCCCACTTCCCTGGGATCATGACCTGAGCCACCCAGGCGCCTTGAAACATCTAAGTACGGAGTTTGCCCTGGAAAATACAGAAACTAATAGTATTCTGCTTCCACCTGAATGAAACAAACAGGAAGCTAGCAAAATCTTATAGAGCCCACTGTAGTGTTCTCTGGAATGATTTAACAGTAGATGAAAAAAATAGGCTCTTTAACATTCAGTGTGAACTATAAACTTTAGCATGAAATGTAAAAATGGAGCCAGTGAAGAGCTGAGAAATCTATTGGAGGTCCTTTCTTTACTCATAATGAGTGGTAATTTACAGAAAATTTCTGAATGGACCTAGTTTCCCAGCTCTGCTTGTCCTATTTAGAGCTTGTGATTGTGTTTTGTCTTTTTTAAAGTATTTTATGGCTTTTTCCAATCACTGCCTCTGTTTGCCATAAGCATTGAAGTATGCAGTTTTTCTTGTCTTTGTATTATAAAAGAAAATTGGATTTGGGTTTTTTTGTTTGTTCCTTTGTTGTAAGCACACCACAAAACAGCAATATGGTCAGCCTTTGTCTTTCGAGGTACAGAGTATACCTTCACTGAACAACTATCTCTTAAACAGTACTGGTCCTAATAGATTGGTTATCGACCTAGAGTAAATGATATTTCATACAACTAAAACTGAAATCGAGTTAAATTATATAGAAGCTTATTCTAAGTGATAGCACTTTAATATTACTTATCCTCAAAAGTATTTTTAAAAGTGCCCCTCCCAAAGTATATTGATACTTGTGTCTCAGATTTAAAACTGTGATCTGGTTTTTCCCCTTTGATTGCTTTGTTCCTGGGACAGATTGAAACTCCAACTCTAATTTGAATACAGTAATTAGCATTCCTACCATATTTAAGACACAGAAAACATAATTCCCAGCATTTTCATTTAGGTTGGCAAGATAAACTACTTGGTAATTAGAACGTTCAAAGTATTTGTGTCTAAATGTTTACTTGCTAGTTTCTCCCAGTTTTTATTCTGCTTTTTTTAATTTAGCTCAGTTTTAATGCCACTTCCGTCTCTTT